AACAATTCAAGATTTTCAGAAAAAAATCCACAACGAATACTAAATTTCATGTTTTTCGGTGTCTTCTCCGACGTCTCTCTGTCCGTTTTCCCTTTATAATTTCAAATTGAATTGTTTAAAATTTACTGGGATAGTTTCGTCTTTTCACGAAAGTCAACAGACAATTTTGTTGCAAGGACCGATGTGTGTCGGAAAACACGATATAGGGGAGTTTTCGTTGCCTTTTTACACTTTGCCACCTTAAACAAAAGAATATGCACAGGCACATCCAAACTCATTATTTTAACTCATTATTTTTCTGGCAAATTTTGACAATTACCAATGCGCGTGACTTGCACATGCCTAAGCACATTAGCTTTTTCATCCTTTTTTTCCTCAATTAACCACACACATAATTTTTCTATGGATTTCCTCATTGCTTTCTCAACAAATATACACAAAACCTTTCTCGGATTATTACGTCTTTCAAAACTAGTTTTTTCTTCTTTTGGTTTGAGTATTTTCTTCTTTGTTCAGAATTATTAACCATCTCTAACAAAAAAAAATAGGAAAATTATAATTTCTAAGACAAAAAGAACCAAAATTTCCAAAAAAAATATTCCCTGCAATTAAAACTCAGTTCTTGATTTCAAAGTATCAAAGTGAGTTTGCGCCATGGTGGCCAACACCCCAATGGTTCTTCTCGGTCAATGAAGGAATTAATTTAGGGGCGCAAATTCAGATATATATATGCAGTATAGCTCGGTCGAAAACACCGCCATTAATGTCGGCCCTCCAAATGTTGTTGGTGATGATGATGGGCGGTGGCGAACGCAATATGAGGGTTTTGGTACACGAGAACCCCTCTAATCGGCCTCAGAAAATTGTTTTCTTCGTAGGAGAGTCCTTGATGAAGGTGGTGATGTGGCGAATGGGGAAACCTGCGACGCGGTGAGCCGTCATGGAGGAGGTGGCAGTGGAAGTACTGATTCGAGGGAGAGGAATTCATTCTTGTGGGAAAAATGTTAGAATACTTAAAGCAGTTGCCTGGTGAAGGCTTGGCGGTGGCGAACATTGGAAAGAAAAGAAAATATTGGTGGAGTTTCTTAAATTGAGGGCTCTCCTCCAGAACAATTGCAAGTTCTTTTCGAGCTGCTTGAAGTATTTGTATTAGTATTAGTATTAATATTAGTATTAGTATCAGTATCCTTATTCGTATCAGTATCAGTATTAGTATTAGTATTAGTATTAGTATTAGTATTAGTATTAGTATTAGTATTAAGCAACTTTCAAGATTAAGTTGCTTCAAAAACTCTTCCTATCAATATCATTCACCGGTTCCTGAGCCAAAGCCACTGTTTCATGAATATACCTACCATGTTCAAAACCACTTTATTTTTCATGAATAAGCTTTGGTAAGACCTTGGTAAGTCTAGATGCTATAACCTTGGATATAACCTTGCTGGATAAGTTCCCAAGGCTAATAGATCTAAATTCTCTCAACTCTTTAGGTTGCTCCACCTTTCGCGATCAAAACCAAAAAAGTAGTAGATATACTTCTGATGAGGTGATCCCTTAAAAGGAAGCCTGTACTACTTTTATAAAGTCGCCCCTAATGATATCCCAACAATTGTAAAAGTGTTCAGTAAAACCATCAATACATGAGAGCTATCAGGAGATAAATTTTTAACTGCTTGATATACTCCTGTACACGTAGGTATTTGACTTAGCATGGCATTGTCTTCCTCTTGCATGCAAAGCCAATTGGTAATCTTGGAAAAGAGACTCTTCGATATGGTATGAGGATGATGTGAATAATTGGGATAAAGTGTTGAACTGCAAAATTACCTAGAATCTCTTTGTCCTCAATCCAATTACCATCATCATCCTAGATTTGTATATTGTTTATTTTCCTTCTGTCTCTCATCAAGGCATGGAATAATTTGGTGTTCTTGTCCCCATATTGAAGCCATTTAGACATGGTTTTATTAATATGAATCTCAGCCTCCCATTTAAGAGCATGCTCTAGATCTTTTATGTGGCTATTAACATGATTATCAATCTCATCAGACCATCCAGTTTCAAGTTGGGCTTTCGATGTGTCAATTTGATCAGATAATATTCTGGATCCTAGCCTACACATTGCCAAAAGTATTCAGTTCCATGATTTAAGAGAATTTCTCACCCTTGTCAGATTCATTACAAAGATAGAGGATGGGTTGCCGTAAACTAGTTGATGCCAAGTTTCTTCCACCACTTTAATAAATTGAGGGTGATCAATCCAGATTTTTTGGACAATAAATTATATTTAGGCTTGAACATATCTGTAATTTTCAGCAAAAGAGGAGCATGGTCTGATATTGTTCTAGTTAAGTGAGTAACTTTGAGATCAGGAAGATCCAACTGAGCTTCCCCATTTATTAGTATTAGTATTAGTATTAGTATTAGTATTAGTATTAGTATTAGTATTAGTATTAGTATTAGCATTAGTATTAGCATTAGTATTAGTATTAGTATTAGTATTAGTATTAGTATTATTATTAGTATTAGTATTAGTATTAGTATAAGTATTAGTATAAGTATTAGTATTAGTATTAGTATTAATATTAGTATCAGTATCAGTATCAGTATTAATATCAATATTAGTATTAGTATCAGTATCACTATTAGTATTAGTATCATTATCAATAACAACATCAGGTGCAATATCAGTATGAGTATCAGTATCAGTATGAGTACGAGTATCAATATTTGTATGAGTATTTGTATGACTATTGGTATGAATATTAATATTGGTATTAGTATTGGTGTTAATATTGGTATTAATATTAATATTACTATTAGTATGAGTATTAGTATCAGCATCGGTATATGTATCAGTATCAGTATCAATATCACTGTCAATATGTGTATGTCTATCAGTGTCTGTATTAGTATTAGTATCAGTATTAATATTGGTAGTAGTATCAATATCAGTATCAGTATTAATATCAATATTATATCAATATCAGTATTATTATCATTATTATTATCATTATCATTATTATTATCATTATTAGTATTATTATTGGTATTCGAATTCATATTAGTCTTGGCGTATTAGCATTAACATTAGCATTAGCATTAGCATTAGTCTTAATATTAGTATTAGTATTAGTATTAGTATTAATATTAGTATTAGTATTGGTATTGGTATTGGTATTGGTATTAGTATTAGTATTAGTATTAGTATTAGTATTAGTATTGGTATTAGTATTAGTATTGGTATTAGTATTAGTATTAGTATTAGTATTAGTATTAGTATTAGTATTAGCATTAGTATTAGTATTAGTATTAGTATTAGTGTTAGTGTTAGTATTAGTATTGGCGTATTAGTTTTAACATTAAATATTCGTATTAGAATTGGTGTATTATTATTAATATTAGTGTTGATATTAATATTAGTATTAGACTATTAGTATTAATCATCTTATTAATATTATGATTAGTATTAATATTGGTATTATTAGTGTTGGTTTTTGTATTAATATTGGTATGGGTATTAGTATTATCAATGTTGGTTTTAGTATTAGTAGTAGTAATAGTTGTTGTTAATGTAATATTAGTGTTTATATTAGGGTGGCATAGGCAATTTTACGCCGTAATGTCCAGAGTTAAAAGTAGATTTGAGATAAAAATATTTATCAACTCAGAATCGGGAGATATAACTAAAATTACGAGCAATGTTGTGTGGACAAAAGATTTTCAGCGAATATGAAGGTAAACCACAAATGCATATTTTTATTCAATAAAACAATTTTTTTTTTTGTATTATTTACATGTATGTCAACTGTTCAAAGTTTTCGTTCGTTTTATTTTATCCAAAAAAAAAAAATTGATCCCGTACGTCACACGGGTAAATTACTAGTTGACATTAATTGATCACTTCTTTAAAGAACTAAAGATATTGTGAAATATGAAAATGATATTCATAAAATTAGTACACAAAATAATAATATATTATAGTAAGTTGGTAAGTTAATTAATGTGTGTCTATAATGGATAAGTGCATTAAATAACTAATTAATGTGTGTCTATTAATATGGTCATAATTAGGGTTGTGCGTTGGTTGGTTTAATTAAAAACCAGTAATAAAATCAATTCAACCATCCAACCAACTTTGGTAAATATTGGAAACCGTTATCGACCCAATTTACATGGGTTGGGTGATGGTTGAAAATCAATATAATGGGTTGGTTGGTGGTTTGGTTGATGGGTCATCCATCTAAATATTTTTTAATATTTTTTTTTATATTTTATTACATGTTACAACGTTATATCTTTTATAAATTAAATGCGACTAGTTCAATAATATTCAAATAAAAAATTCAAAACATTACGGGCATATATATTGCAATTAAACATAAATAGTTCAACAAATAATAATCGTCCAAATATTTAGACTATAAGTCTTAAAATTAAAATAGTTCAAATTAGATAAATAGGTTAGATTTATTGCTTTTAGGATTTTGGTCAATATTAAACAATTTAATAAATGTGATATAAAATAAAAATTAAAAATTAAAAATATTAAATATTTTAATTAAAATTAATAAATAATAAATTAAGGAATAAAGTTGGTTGGCCGATATTAACCGATTAACCAACTTTTTAGCATATTAGAAACCATTTTCGACCCAACTATACATGGGTTGGTTGACATTATCGACCCAACTTAAATGGGTCGGTTGATGGTTGATTAACCATCACAAATTGTGGGTCGAAAATAGGTTGGTTGGTGGTTAAAACCGATCCATGCACAGTCCTAGTCATAATAATGGAACAAATACTGCTACATTGGATATAAGATGATGCCACATAAATATATCACATGCCGAATTCTTAAGGTACGAGAGTTTCAATTTAAATATTTATATAAATATGTTTTTGACTTGTATAATCAAGTAAACAAAATAAAAATAAGCAAACTGTATCTTGTATTTTGGATAGAAGGAAATTTTTTATATAAAATTCTAAAAAGTTATGATTTTTTATCCGATATTCTATATATATATATATATATATATATATATATATATATATATATATATATATATATATATATATATATATATATATATATATATATATATATATATATATATATATATATATATATATATATATATATATATATATATATATATATATATATATATAAATAAAAAAGAGAGAGAGAGAGTGTGTTTGTTTTTTTTTTTTTTTTGTGTGTGAGAGAGATATATATATATATATATATATATATATATATATACATATACACACACACACAC